AGCTTCTTGTATTTGGAGATAATCGCAAAATATGTAGGGATTTCAAATAAACCAAAACCAGAAAAAATTTTCCTGATCATACAATTGAAACCAATCGACACGGAATATTGGAATAGAGTTATGGATAGGGAAGCAGTCTAGCATTATGGATAACCATTGCATTATGTTCGATTGTAAAATGCTCTATGACATAATTTCAAACGGATTTGAACATATTTCAAATGGATTTCAACATAGGTATATATTTTGGTACAGTCCCCACCTAGCCAACATTTTCGGGGGTGGAAAATTCAAAATGCAGCAGATGGTACTACGCCTAAGTAGCCTTAATATAATCGACTCAGAATGTGATTCTATGAAGATCCCCAGAAGTAACTATGGGTCTTTCTCGCTTCCTTCTCCATGTTCCAAACAAATGCACAAATACGTAGTACCCTTACCACTATGTGGTGTAGGGTATAAACATTTGACGGTGGAATTTTAGATTACTTTTAAAGAAGCCATTTGACCTTAACTTTAGATTTATTAAATATTTTTAGAGGGTCTATATAAAGCTTCATTGTGAATGTTCAGGAACTTAACAATGAATTCATAAGAATATAATATAGGGTCTCTCCCAAGAGAAAAATTAGATTTTACAGAATATTATAAGACGGCCAAAATTTTTGCAATATTTAGGCCCTACGCCACATAGTGTGAACAAAATTCAGGTCGCATTTAATATCCGATCCAGATGAAATTTTCCAAACATAATTTGTTTGGCCCAAGGACGAACCCTATTGAAATTGGTGAGAATCTGTTCAAATTTAGATATAGCTCTCATATATATCTTCAACCGATTTCGAGTTAATTGTGCACCAAATAGCCAACAACAACAACATTCCAAATGACATGAAACTTACTGAATACAGTCTAAAATCAAGTAGATCAAATTTGTTGAAAATTGGTTCAGATATTGTTTTAGCTCCCAATGTTTGTGCTATATCCGATTTGGGGTTTTAAGTTCCTCATATGCACTCCACAACAATAATCTTCGGTGCCAGATATTAGATACATCTGAGAAATTTTGAAATAAAATTTAAAATGTTGTCAAGATCGGTTCAGATTTGGATATAGCTCCCATATATATATATATCTTAATCTAATTTCAGGTTTTTTAATGCACCAAATGGCTAATGTAAACCAAAATGGACTGAAATTTGGCACTTCCGACGGAAGTTCTGCCTAAAAACAAGTGCTTCAAATTTTCCTGAAAATCGTTTCAGATGTAGCTATAGCTCCCATATATATGTTTTATACGATTTGTTGATAAAGTCGCTCATATGCGTAATATACACTCCATAACAATGATATTTGATACCGGGTATCAGATTTTTATATAGCTTCTATACACACCTTCATCCGTCCTTGCGGTTATTGCTTACCATATATGTAATATCAGCCCAAATGGAATAGATTTGTTTAATCGAATTTTTTCATTTGGTGAAACTCGGTCTGGTAAAATTGGTCCTACACCACAAGGTGGTCAGGGTATTATGTCTTTGTGCATTTGTTTGTAACAGGCAAAAGGAAACAAGATAGATATAATTCCTTTTGATGATCTGCATAGAATCACATTTTGAATCGATTTATGCATGTCAGTCCGTCCGTCCGTCTGTCCATGTATTTTTGTAAACAAAGTACAGTTCGCATTTATTGCCCTATTCAGATGATATTTTGCAAAAATCATTTGTTTGGCCCAAGGACGAACCTTATTGTAATTGAGATCATCGGTCAAAATTTAGATATAACTTCCATATATATCTTCGTCCGATTTGCTTTTATTGTGCACCAAACGTGTAATATCAGCACGAATAGTACGGATTTTTGCAAAATATATCAAATACAGCTCAGAAATATGTTTTCTAAATTTTATCGAGATCGGTTCAGATTTGGATATAGCTCCCATATATAACTTCGTCCGATGGAATTTGGCACTTACGACCGAATTGAGTCTAGAAGTATGTCAAATTTGGTGAAGATCGATTCAGATATAGCTATAGCTCCCATATATACTGTTCATCCGAATTGTTATATTTGTTACCCACAGCCGTAATATGCACTCCGTAACTACGATATTCAGGGAAAAATATCAAATACAGCTCAGAAATATATTTTCCAAATTTTATCAAGATCGGTTCCGATTTTATAATCATAGGGTGTATGATTGAATACTTCTTTTAATTGTTATGTGGAGCTCTAATAAAGTAGCAAAGTGGTGTAGGGTATCATAAAGTCGGCCCCGCCCGACTTTAAGACTTTCTTTACTGGTTTAATATAATCCTTATCGAAGTCATATCATGCACTTTACAGTTTCTTAGTTGATATGCTCTACTTCACATAAATTTTCAATATAAACTTTTTTTGTTACGGGAGCTCTACTAAGTACACATAGTGGTGTAGGGGTCATTATCCCCCCGGCCGACTTTTGATCTTTCTTTAATGTTTTTTTTAATCTTTAAAACACTGTCCTCTCTAGTTATACTTCATTGCGATTGTATTCCCGAATTGTTAATCCCGTAGTTTCATTTTCATTGAAATACGCCATTATTTGTAGCAAAAATGTGTAAGGAAGTTTTTTTTTTTTTAAATACACACGGTATTTTGTTTTGCCAACAGCTTTTGATCTCATGTTGCCTCCGCTGCATAACAATACCCACACTGCAAGAGAGAGGTAGGTGGGTGACTCCAAACCCCGGTGAATCCAACATCTAATGAGGGTGGTTGGCTGTTGGTAATTATTAATGCCAATTAGCTATGTCGGTACAAGGCAATGGTTTATTATTCTATACTGTTTGCCGGGGGACTGTAGGGGGTTTTGAGGGTTAGGGGGTGAGTGAACTGCAAATGAAACTTTCTTTGTGGTCTTAATCATAATGAGTCATTACCATAGACACACACACAGTTCTTGCGGGGATGTGGGTGTTATTGTTAATCTGGACAGAGCAGGAATTTGGAATTATACGGTAAGAACAAATAAGGTGTTCATTTGTGGGCGAGCAAAGAGAGAAAAGGAGAACGGAAATGAGGGGGAAACTTTGGAAGTTTCCTATGTTTCTAGGATCTGCAAATGACACATTTATTGTTATAATTTTTCCAACTTAACTGTGAGAAGCGGAATTGTGTTGGATAAAGCGGGAATTTCGAGAACAACCATAGCAATAAATTATTTAGTATTCTATTAATACTGTTAAATATAAGAGGAGAAAAGAAAGTTTTTTTGATTTTGCTGTTTAACTTGCAGTGTGATATAAATTCCAGCTAATCAAAAGAAGTTGTGGAAGTATGGAAAAAATACATATATTTTCTTCTCCATAAGAGGCTCTATCGTTACTTAGCATGTACCACCTGCTTCCTTAGCGGAAGTTATTAATTATAGACAGTAAGGAAAAGTCAGAAGTCGGGCGGGGCCGACTATATGTTACCCTACAACAATATGCATATTGAATAGAGCTCTCGTAAGAAACTATTTGGATTTAGAGCAGCTATAGTCTGGTTTCAGATGGAACAAATATATGGAAGGCATATGCAATTCTGAATCGATTTTCACTATATTTGACCGAGACATTCTAATTTTTTATACCAAATAACATTGCTATAGAGTACATGATATCACTTCGAAAAGGATTATATTAAAAACAAGTAAAGAAGCAGTAAGTTCGGCCGGGCCGAACTTTGAATACCCTCCACCATTTGATACGAATTAGAAATTTTTCAAAAAAAAAAAAATTAAAATTTCAGTTAAAATCTTTAAAATACCTAATATCGGAAGTTGCCGATATATGGTGGATATACGATATTGTGGGAGTAAAATACTCAGAAGGGACTCCTTGTGTGGAATTTTAGATAATTCCTTTAAAAAATGTGACTAAAATCATCAAAATACCGAATATCGAGGGGTACCGTTATACTGGGGTTATACCACATCGTGGACCTATATAGATAATTATCTTCCAGGGGATAAAGTACTCACAAGGAACTCCTTGTGTGGAATTTCAGACAATACCATTGGAAAATGTGGCTTAAATTATCAAAATACCGAATATCGGGGGTACTGTTATATAGGGGATATACGATATCGTTAATCTATAAAGAGATCTCTGTCAGGGGGTAAAGTGCTCACAAAGAACTCCTTGTGTAGAATTTCAAGCAATTCCGTTGAAAAATGTGGCTAAAATTATCAAAATTCCGAATATCGCGGGGTACCGTTATATGGGGGCTACACTGAGGGAAAAATCCCGTTGCGAAATCAAGCACGTATGTTGTCATTTTCGCAACGACCCGTTGTTATATTTTTCAACAACGGCTGTTGGTGAATTGTGCACGAACGTGCTCAAATTGACACCGAGACGTGGTCAACTTTCGGTACCAACAACAGCCGTGCTTAATTTGTCCATTTGTAATATTGGTAATTGCAGCCGATTACACACGAGTAAAAAATGACAACGGTGGTGCATGATTCACACACGGTCGTTGTCAATATGACACCGGTCGTGTATGAATTATGCACCACCACCTGCATAATGATGCACCACCGTTGTTACTTTGTACACCGACGTGCATGAATCGTACACGATCGTTGCCATTTTAGCAACTACCGTGTATGAATCATGCACCACCGTTGTCATTTTTTTTACTCGTGTGCAATCGGCTGCATATTTACCATTTTTTCCGTGTTATTGAAAGAGAAAGGACGCATTGTGCAAAAAATTTATTGAAAATGAATAATAATTCGCAAGATCCTCAAAATATCATTGGTGAGTTGTTAGAAATCGATGGCAATATTGTTGTGGTTCGCGATACAAACCATTGCAGCAGTCAAGATGCGGAAAACAATGAGGACGATTATATGTTAAGGGAGTTCTTAAAAGGAATAAATATGGAGTCGCTTTTTGAACAATTAAAAGGTAAGTAAATAAAAATGAATTTTTCAGTTAATCAGTGTAATTAACAAAGAATTTTCTTTTTTGTTCTTTTAGCATCACATGTAACATTTCGCAGCTTGCAGTACTTGAAAAAAGAAGATTTAAAGGAAGCAGTGCCACCATTGGGACTGCGTGTTGAATTCAGAGAAAAGCTCTTTGCTTGGAAAAAACGAAAGGTACGTATTATTTGTTTTACAGAGTTGAACTCAGTATTAATATTGTCATAACAATAGCTCGGGATTGATGACGAAACTATGTCAGTTCCATCTAAAATAGGTGAATGGTGGAAACGCAACGAGACACCTGCAAGTACTCCTGGTACTCCCGACACTACAGGTTCGAACTGCTCAAAAGCCAAAGGAATTTTGTCAGAGGTAAGGTAAGAGTAATATTTGTGTAAGCATAGTTAATGTAGTTTTTTTATTTAATATAGGATCTAACGGAATTGTTAACACATACCTCGAAGGGGAAACTAGCGCTTGAATGTAGTAGCGTTAATAAGAAATTAAGTGACGAGCAAAGAGATGATATAATTAATATAATTATTGAAGATATTTTAACCAACAATGTTACTCTTTACACTCAAGACTATATGCGCATATTGGATGAAATTTGTTCCGTTTTTCCTCTTGAAAACGAAATGAGGGTAAGATTAACAATATAAACAACGTATCTGATTATGTAGTTTCTTAACTTATAATATGTCTTTATTTTTAGGATTATTATTACATTTCAAGAAAAGGAAAGAACAACGCAAGCGGAAAACTTTATGCCAAGTATAGAAACAAGAAGTCCAAAAGAATAAAGCTTTTGATTTCCGAGCCTAGCACAAGCAAAGCAGCAACTCACACATCTCCTAATTTTTGTAACAAAGATGTTCCCGAAATTGATGAATCAGTTGAAAATTCATTGAAAGCTTCCTTACTAAGAGAATGTAATGATTGGGGATCGATCTGCGAAAAATGGAAAAGATCTTTTAACATACGGCAAAGAGATATAAAAAATTTAAGTAGCCATACATTTCTCCTTGAATGGACGAAGTTGTCCGATGCAAGAGCTTCAGAATTGGTAAGTAGCCATGAGCTATTTATTTGTATATGGATACTAATGTTTCGTTTTAGGTCAACATTGATTTCGATATTATGTATCCACAGAAAGGCAATCTTCTACTTTCTAAATGGGACCAATTTAAGAAAAAAATTTACAATTATTATGGGAAAAATATTCATAACGAACATTGCAAACAACTCTTCGCAAATGTTTTGACGGCAAGCAGCATAGGTAAATTTTAATTCCTGATTTATCATAAACATTAAAAGTAATATTTATTTTATATTTCGGTTGCAGATGCTCAAGATTATATATACGCAATACTGTTGAATTCAGTTTTACCATCACCTGCTAGGTTTAAATGTGGAAACGGTAAATTACGAAAAAAAGTAACAATAGCTGATTCGCAGGAAAGTTTCGTACTGCGACTACCGACAATTAACGATTATAAAAGGCAAATTGATACAGTCACTGAAAAGTATTACAATGCTGGATTAACTATACAGCCATTTATAATTGTGGAGGGTTTGTCCGATTTCAATATAAAAGGTTTTTATGTTTTTTTTAACCACAATTTGTTAAAATTTCAATCGTTCCTCGAATGTTTAGATACATGTTTTAAAATTTTTCATGCACTTTCTTTAAAATATCCAAATGCCTGCCAAATTCCATGGATTTTTATCCAAAAATATTTTTATGAAATTAATACTGTATATGATATAAAATCAGTTAATTTGACTTCACTTATTAATTTCTGCAACAATAATTAAAGTACAATTCAAAATGTATATTTGCTTTCGTTGCCGTAAGCATTTTGATAAGGCAAATCTTTTAATAGCTCATTTGAAAACAGACCATTTAATGTCCACTAAATTTTTAAAAGTACAATGCGTTCAGGACAACTGTAAGCAAACATTTACAAAATTTACGTCATTCAGAATTCATTTAGAAAAACTTCACAAGAATCACACAAAAGCTCCACCAATGGTTAAAGCCATTAATGTGCCAGTTGAAATGTCATCATCAAAAGAAAATGATTATACAAACAGTGAAACTGTTATTAACAACAATACAATAGAAAAGGATTTAAATGTTTTGAAAAAGAAAACCTTATATCTGTCTTTACAATTACATGGTCAAAGCTATATGCCTAGAAATCATGTTATAGAAATACAACATTCTGTTTCAATTCTGCTTTCATCCATTTCATGTACAATTGAAAAATATATAACTGATCATCCAAATTATGAAGACTTAAGGTACTTACTAAACTTTTGTAAAAATCCTTTCGAAGAAACTAGAACGGAATATAGACTTTTAAAAATTTTAAAAGAACTAAACTTTTATGATGATCCAAAGGTTTATGTAATTAGCAATCAAGTCTCGGAAATTGTTATCAGCGGAAATCCCAGTTTAGGTCCAAAGTTATCCAATATTTATATAATGCCACTGAAATTCATGATAAGTGCCCTTTTTAAAATTCCAAATCTCTTAGATTTGACATTAGAAAACTCCAAAAAATTCCTAAATTCACCTGTTTTACAAAATTTTACAAACGGTGAGTTATATAAAACTAAATTATTAAAATATCAGTACAATTTAGTTATTCCCTATGTCCTTTACATGGATGATTTTCAAATTAATAATCCTCTTGGAACCCATACATTTTCCATATGTGGTTGTTATATTAGCTTTCCTTCAATGCCACAGCACTTGTTGTCAAAACTTGATTATATATTAACTGCTGCGTTTATACCATCAAAGGATTTAAAAGAACGTGGAAATGAAGTTTCATTTCACAATCTTGTAGAAGAGTTAAAAATTCTAGAAGAAGGGGTTGAAATTTGTGTTCAACAAAGTGTTCAGAAGGTGCATTTTATTTTAGGTGTAATTATTGGAGATAATTTAGCAGTTAATAGTATTTTAGGCTACGTGCAATCATTTAACTCTAAAAGATTTTGCCGGGTATGTAGAAGAAAAAAGTCCCAAATGCAATTCGACGCAATTCAGCATTTAGATAGTTTAAGAAACCAAGAGAATTACAACTCAAATGTATTGGAAAATAATTTTCAAGAAACAGGTATTAAAAACAAGTGTATCTTCGAATCTTTACCAAATTTTAACGTCACTGAAAATTTTTGTTTTGATATTATGCATGACATTTTCGAGGGCATATGTGTCTACGATATGTCTAATGTAATTCTCGGGCTGATTCAAGAAAATATTGTTACGTTAGATTGTATTAACAGCAGAAAATCTTTATTCCAATTTGGAGAAATTGAAGTGGGAAATAAATCTGGACCACTAGATTTATGTAGATTGAAAAACTATAACTTAAAAATGACAGCTAGTGAAACTATGTGTTTTACTAATTTTTTACCTTTAATGGTAGGCGATTTAATTCCTTTCTCCAACGATCACTGGAAAGTTTTTATAATATTATTACAAATAATCGATTTACTTTTAAGACCAAGTTATATAGAAGACGATTTAATAAAATTGGAAGAATTAATTAGAGATCACCATTCACTTTATATAACATTATACGGTTCGTTAAAACCGAAACACCACTTTCTTGTCCACTATCCCACAGCTATCCGAAAATGTGGTCCCCTTAAATATCTCTGGAGCATGAGATTCGAAGCTAAACACAAGGAAGCAAAAGCCTATTTAGGAAATACTACATCAAGAGTAAATCCCTGTCGTTCATTATCTATTAAGTCTGGATTGAAATTTTCCAATTTTTTATTAAAACACGAAGATAACTTAGAACCAAATGTTATCATTAATACGCATACCATCGAAGATTTGGCAAAAGAGGAATATTGTTACAAAAAAAGTAAGCCAGTTTTAAATTACCAAAATTGCAAAGTGTCTGATGACATTTTTTTTAAGGGAACTAGGTATAAAAAAAACTATTATTTAGCAACAAATAATGCCGCAATTGAACTTTTCAAAATTAAACATTTAATAATTGAAAATGAAAATGTTTACATTTTATGTAACCAAGTAAAAGTTAAAAACTTTGATTACCATTTACAATCGTATGAAGTTGGTTCTCTGAATGAGGATACAATTTTTTTAATACCAATTTTAGATTTTATTACTTACCCATTTCACTTATATCCTATGAATAATGGAAAAGTTTATTTCAGATTTAAGTTAATTTAATTTGTTTCTATACATTGAATATATGTAATTCGAATTGTTTTGTTAAATCAAATATGTATTTATATTGAATTTATGTAATTGGTTTCGTTCAATAAAATACTTTTCAAAAAATGTCGTTTCTTCTACTAAGGGTATAAAATGGAAAAGGAACGGATATCAAAAAATGACCACCATTGATTTCAATCTGACAACGGGCGTTGACAATCCGACAACGGAGCGTTGACAATCTGACAACGAAGCGTAGACGATCTGACAACGAAGCGTTGACAATCTGACAACGGGGCGTGCTCGAAATGACCACGTATGTGCTCATTTCATGCACATCTGTTGTTGAAATCGTTGCCAAAATCTCGGTGTCAAAATGACAACAGCGTGCTCATTTTGACACCAAACGTGGTTGATACACTATCATACACGGATGTGGTCATTTCATACACGGATGTTGTCATTTTTTCTCTGGGTGTATACGACATCGTTGACCTATATGAAAGATTCTCTTTCAGGTGGTAAAGTGCTCAAAAAGAACTTCTTGTATGGATTTTCAGACAGTTCCGTTGAAAAATGTATCTAAAATCGTCAAAATACCGAATATCGGTGGGTACCGTTATATGGGGGCAATACGATATCGTTGACCTATATAGATAATTCTATTCCGAGGGATTTAGTATCCAAAGGGAACCCCTTGCATGGATTTTCTGACAGTTCCGTTGAAAAATGTATCTAAAATCGTCAAAATACCGAATATCGGGGGGGGGGGGGGGGGGGGGGGGGGGGTGGTTCATTATATGGGGGCTATACGATATCGTGGACCGATATAGCCAATTTTACGCTGATCAAGAATATATATACTTTGTTGGGTCTAAAATGATAACTTCGATGAGTTACAAACGGAATGACGAACTTAATATACCCTCCATACTATGTGTGGTGGAGGGTATAAAAATATATCGGAGCCGAATTCCACAAAACGGAAACCTACGTCCCGAAAATCACTCCATTTGAGCTGATATTAGCCATTATTTGCACAATAGACCTGAAATCGGATTAAGGATATATATGGGAGCTATATCCAAATCTGAAAAGATCTTGATAAAATTTGACAGAGGTAATTTCGGGGTTGTACCTGATATCTGGTAGTAAATGTCATTGTTGACGAATGCATATTACGAATGTGAGGGACTTAAACACCAAATCGGATATATGGGAGCTATAGCCATATCTGAACCAAATTTGATGTACTTGCTTCTAGACTGAATTCGGTCGGATGTACCAAAATTCAGGACATTTTGACAGATATTATCCATTTGGTGCACAAATAATCCTAAATCGGCTGAAGATATATATGGAAGTTATATACAAATCTGAACCGAGTTTGATAAAATTTGGCAGAGGAGTTTCTGGACTGTATCTGATATCTAATGCCAAATATCATTCTGGTGGGGTTCATATTACGAATGTGGAGGACTTTAATACCAAGTCGGATAAAACTCCATATTAGAGATAAAGCTGTACCTAAACCGATTTCCTCCGAATTCGATGTACTTGCTTCTAGAATTAATTAGGTCGGATGTACCAAAATTCAGGACTTTTGGGTTTGATAATGGCCATTTGGTGCACAATCAACCCTCTACGGTACAAAATCAACCCGAAATCGGTTGAAGATATATATGGAAGCTATATCCAAATCTGAAGCGATCTTAATAACAATTTTCCAGAGTTATTTCCGAGCTCTTTAAGATATCTGGTACCAAATATCATTGTTGTCGAATGCATATTACAAATGTGAGGGAGTTAAACATCAAATCGGATGAAACAGGGTGAGATGAAAAACTGCAACCAACTTCAGACAGCTGTCATTTCTAAGACACTCGTCCGACCGCTGTTAAAATTATTCCAGTGACAGCTCAACCTATTGTTTACAATTCGTAATGGAATTCAAGCGTTATAGTGTGATTTCTTTATATTTGGCTGGAAACCCACAAGTGGCTATCGTTAGAGCATTCCAGCATTTAAATGTGAATATATCTTTTGTGCCTCGTACCATCACTCGTTACCGTAATACAGGTAGCGTAGCCCGAAGTCAAGGAAGTGGACGGAAGAAAACAGCAACATCAGCAGAAATCGTTCGAAAAGTAAAGAAGCGACGCAGTGGCCGAAAAATGGCTCGTGAGCTGAACATATCGCAATATTCCATTCGACAAATATTGAAAAATAAGCTTGGAGTAAAGCCATTGAAATTCCAAAAAGTGCAAAAAAAAGTTAAATTTCAGCGCACAATGGCCACCAGAATCTGCGGATACCAATTCGTTGGACTTTTATACCCTACAACACTATGTGTTGGGGATATTATAAGTTTGATTGGGTCAAAAATTATGTAACACCTCGAAATATTGGTTTCCTACATAGGAAAGTATATATGGATCTTCCCATCTCGCCGAGCTGAGTCGATCTAGCTATGTATGTCCGTCCGTCCGTATGTTCGTCTGTCCATGTTAATTGTATCAAACAACAGGTCGCAATTATGGTCGGATCCTCACGAAATTAAAAATGGAGGTGGGGTTAGGGTCAGAATAGAACCCTATTGTATTTGGAGATGATTGCAAAATATTTAGTTGTTGAAATGGACCAAAAACAGACATTTTTCCTGATTTTGCAGTTGCTCTATAGGCCACAATTATGAACTAATCGACGCGGAAATTTACATGGAGTTAGAGTTTAAGACTGGTTAGAAGCCTACCAGCCTGGGCGGTCATCGGACAATATTTAGCGGGTAAAATAGAGCCTAACTTTTATGTAAGAAAATAAGAAAATTTCTACTTAACCGCGGATATTTTTAACCCACCCAAATCACAAATACATTAAAAGGTCACTCGTGACCATTAAAGTGATGTTGATAGCCAAGAAATCGGATATATATAGCAAAACAGGAACAATATATATGTAAAAGAAATATATCTTATTTATTCTGCTTATAACTCAAGAACCGCTGGTCCGATTTTGACAATTCCCTTAAATTCGGGATGGTCTCTGGCCAGAAAAGGATAAAATCTAAGAAAATCGCGGAAAAATATACAAATAAGTGAGTGAATATATTTTGTTCCATTTTTTCAATTTTTGTCACATTTTTTATCGCATGCGATTTTTTCAATTTGACTTACAATTTTGAATTGAAAGTTTTCTAAATTTTTACACTTGTGTTGAAAAGGTTTAATATGCTTTGAGGGTTTTATATGCATGTCGCCATTATCGTCCGATCCTCACGAAATTGCATGGGGTTGCGTTAAGGTCAGAAT